CCAACCAGTAGTGCCACTACGTCTTATAACTAACTTCCTGTGGTAATAGGCTTTAACAGGGGGTGAATCATGTGTTTTTTACGAACTCGTGACATGTGGTCAGATTAATTATTTGCCGATTACATCTCAAAAAGGTACACAAGGTTCTAATTACAACACAATGGACTTTAAATACCTGTCTTCAATCCATGTATTCAACAGCCAGATCAACAAACACTATAATTGTTATTTTCTTAAAGTACTGTATGCAAGAAAGGACTGTTTAAGGGTGTAACGCTGTACGCCAACTGTTCTTGAGCCTTTGAGTTTCGGGTTTAGACCGATCACTTTACATAGTGACAGCCTTACAAATAACTTCCCTATGCTCTTAGCAGAGCATATAGATGTACCAAATCGATTGTCTAACTCTAGCGCCGAAGTAGCTTGGCAGCGAGGACGCGCTGCACTTTGAATGGATCACGTTAAGTTATCTCCGTAGTTTATTTGAAAAGTAACAATTTCATTTATCCAAACAAACAAAAACTTCCCTTTGAGTTAGCAATTCAAACCAGCGGTTGGAAAGGTGAATATCCCCTGTAACCGAAACTATGACTCCCAATTGAGACGCAACATTAATTAACAAGCCCTAGGGACACGAGATCCCTCTTAACAAAGGCAGAGTGAAGTCAGAGCAAGAAACGCCCATGGCCAATACGGTGTGTGAAGGTCTTCACCAAACCAATGGATTGACAAATGGTTGTAGATTGCATTTACCACCTCGGCACTGGCCAAAACCAGTGCCGGTCAAGTTTCATTACCGTTCATTCATGTTTAGCCCGGAAGGCAACGCTCAGCGTTTGTTTTTTACGGGTGAACACTGATCAATACAAAAACTCGTCAATAACATTGGGAACAAGTAAACCCGTAAAAACAAAGTTTTTCACTATAAATCCTTTATATGCGTGGCGGCTAGAGTCATCTCGTCCTCTGGCTTGAGATGGCTGCCACCTACGTGTCAGATGATTGTCTGCCACCATTAAGCAATTGGTAATAAAATATTTAATTTGTTTTCCCTAAACAGTGTAAAATTTTGGATTTTTTTTCACGAAAATTAATTGTCACACAACGAGTCTGTGTGGAAAATGTCAGCTCGATTGGATCACGGGAAGTGGGTAAAAAACGACCGAAAGATTTGCACGGTCGTAAGCAAGCAAGCACGCAAGCAAGCAAGCGAACTTAATATAAAGGATTTTAAAAATACAGAAACACACAGGAGTCGGGCAATGGCTCTTCCTGTGCAACCACTTATAAGGCGCCGTTCGCTAACCATCAGCACAAAAGCAAAAAAAACACACAACGATCACAGAGCAGTATTGTCTCCAGGTGAAGTAAATGAGACCACCATATATTTACTGTACACGTTAATAAGTCATTCTTTTACGTACTAAAGCTTAAACAGTACAATTAACTATCATTAACTGAAAGTTACACAGCACACCCATGTTGGTGTTCACACAGTAACATTGTGGATGTCCGATATTCAACCGAGGAAGCGCCACCTCCGATTAGCGCTGCGAAAGAAGGTCAACATATACTTAACATTAACGTTTCAGAAGGGGGTCTGTATTCGCTACGTGTGAGAGGAAACCTGTACACAGAGTAACCATTGCGCTTTACTCCCACACGAAGTACGTACAAGCGAGTGGCACAGTCAGCCCCACCTGCTTTACCGCAATCTCCAAACCCCCTCGCAGTCTTTCCCCCACAAAACGTCGACACCGCGATTCGTCGACACAGCACTGGACCACGCGGCATGTGTCGCCCCCCACACCCCCCCAGGGCCAACAGCTCAGCCTCGTCGGCGTCCACAGAATCAACCCTGCGGCCACACGCGCGGCTTAAGCGGGAGCCGAGTGCCGGCGGTCGAACGGGCGAGGGGGGGAGCCTCGATCAGCACGGGACGGGTCCGACCAAGGCCGAGCCGTGGCTTCGGCAGCGTGCAGCGGGCAACGTACACGGTCTTCACAAACAGTTGCCGCTCCCACAGAGCCGAGGAGCGAGCTGGCGGCCCAGGGGTTGAGCGCCGACCCGAAGTCGTGGGGTCGGGACGCGAGTTCGTCCGCCGTGTTGACCGGGCGGCTTCGCGGCGCGCGCACGTGACTGGCCAAACAGCTGATCGGGCGTGCTACGGAACCTCCGAGTGGCCCGCGGAACGCGATTCGTTTTGTTTTGGTCCAATTACCATTCTGGCCACTAGGTGGGGGAGGGGGCCTATATAAATGATTTGGGGCGTGTGGCATTCCACAGGACAATGGCATTCCACAGGACACGCACGTGCTTGCTACCACTCCCATCCACGCACTCTCCTGCATCTCCCCACTCACCTGCACGCACTGTCATACCTCTCCCCACTCAACTCACTCCCCTCCACCCACTCACCTGCATCTCCCCACTCAGCTCCATGCACTCTCCTACCTCTCCCCACTCACCTGCACGCACTCTCCTGCATCTCCCCACTCACCTGCACGCACTCTCCTGCATCTCCCCACTCAACTCACTCCCCTCCACCCACTCACCTGCATCTCCCCACTCAGCTCCATGCACTCTCCTGCCTCTCCCCACCCAAATCACTCCACGCCACGCACTCTCCTACCTCTCCCCACTCACCTGCACGCACTCTCCTGCATCTCCCCACTCAACTCACTCCCCTCCACCCACTCACCTGCATCTCCCCACTCAGATCCATGCACTCTCCTACCTCTCCCCACCAAAATCACTCTACGCCACGCACTCTCCTACCTCTCACCATTTCCCTCCACGCACTCCCTGACACCTCCCCTCTCATCTCACACAACCCTTGCTGACAAAGTGCTGCTATTAATATTTTTGGGATAATTTCTATGAACACTATATTGTGGCTGCCATGAATTTGTTGCTGCAAGTTTATAACCACTTTCATTCAACTTAAATCTTACGTCTTAGGGGCCGTCCATAAATGACGTCACGCGATTTTGGACGATTTTTGACCCCCCCCCCTCTAGTCACACGGCATCACAAAAAGTCACACCCCCCCTCAAATATGACGTCACAAAGCTCTGCCCCCCCCCCCCCCCAAAAAATATATAAAACATGCTTCAAATCGCTTTAAACTATTGTCATTGTAGTGCGTATTTAATGTGGCGCTGCACTCTGATGTAGGAGAAAACATTTATTTAAAAGTCTATTTACTTAAGTAGAACGTGTTGTCTATATTTAAAGTGGCGCATTTTGATGTGACGTTACATTTCTCATCCCCCCCCCCTTCGTCACACATCGTCACAAATGTCTGACCCCCCCCCCCTTCCTAGGTGCGTGACGTCATTTGTGGACGGCCCCTTATATTTAAAGGTCTTAACTTATTGTATCTCATAACATGAGTTTATATACGAGTGTCAGGACATACAACATGACTTTACTGTGTTCAACAAACTGAATAGTTTATTTCATTTGGTCACAACACACTAAAAACGCATCACAACTTAACCAAATTTCGCCTATATCAGCTTCAGTTGAATCATTAACAGGGTTCTGCGTTGTCAGTAACCTATTAAATTGCATTCGCAATGCACACTTTTTTTTATTATCACATGCTTTCTTTTAACTCACTCTGTTGTTATTGTTGTCATCGTTGTATCCTCAAATCTTGCAACTCAATTTTAACCCACTTCCCAATGTGGTATCAACTGCAAACTTGGTATATTTATGTCATACTGACGACAATACTATATTCTATCATAAAAAATCTATATTTTTAAACATTATTTTTCATATGTTATGTTTCGGCTTGGGTCTGATTGTCCACGGTCAACTGACGTTGGCTGTAATTGGCCACGTCCCTTGCGTTATGGCAAGCTTCGGGGCCACTTCTTGGAGTTCTGCCATTACTAGTACATTTAATAAAAGCGTGTTTTAAAAAAAAGTTGTTTTTAAATATTACTTATTATGAGTCCAGCGTGTGCTGCTAAGTTATCGAGGGTGCACTGGCTAAGATTAAGCTGTGATGAATGAATATTATACTGAATAAGATCAACTCCACTCACCCTCTGATGTGAGCGAGTGCAGATGCACGTTTAACAAGTGAGAGATAGATACCCTGTGCTGTAATTTTAGCTTTGGCTGTGCCTTCTAAGATTTAAAAGATGTGCCATTGCAGTATAAAGCAGATTACTCAAAAAAATGTTCCACATTCTTCAAGACGTAAATGAGTAGCAAGTGTTTGATGGTAGATGCGCACACTCGTCCCACGTGTTATTACGTTTTCGAGGCAATTTGGACAACATATGATTTTCTAAAAACGTATTTTTACAGCGGAGTGCATCTATACTGTAATAAATACATAATTTTAGCAGATGTAAAAGGTAATTTTCGACCCGCGACATCACACGTTGCGTGAAACTTACTTTATTCACCAGGTTTCTAATTGACATTTAAAAAAAACTGTGTTTATTCACATTGTCCAAGACTGTCAATGTCCAAGACTCTTAATGGGAGGGGGGTGTGGGGGTCTATAATAAACACCGTATATAGTTCTTGGAGACAAATTTTTACAGTCAATTTGATTATGCCAAAGTACTGGCCGAGGTGAAATATATTTAGAAAAAAAAATCTAATTTACCTTTTAAACTAAAAATAAAATCTACAGGATTAGAAAACATACATTGCAAGAATAACAGCTTGGCTTTATACATTCTTGCAGTGCTATGTCATAACCTATACACCTGTTTTTACTGGTAGGAACCTCCTGGTTACACCAGCCCACAGGGGATTATTGTGTCCGTCGTGCAGGGAGGGGCTGGGTGGGGTGGGTGGGGAGGGTGGGGTGGGGTCGGGTGGGGAGGGTGGGGTGGGGAGGGGCTGGGTGGGGAGGGTGGGTGGGTAGCTGGGTGGGGGGTAGGAGGGGTGGGGTAGGGTGGGGAGGGGAGGGGCTGGTCACCCCGTGGTGCCCTTATAAAACTCAACGTTTAACCTATTCACGCCGGCTTGTGCCCGCCCTCACAGTCGGGCATATTTGCGGAATACACCACGCCGCCGTTGACCCTGGCCATTGACTGAGCAACTCAACGTTACTACCAGCTCCCTCCGCAGGAATGTGTTAACGAAGCTGGAAAACTATCAAGGACAGTGGCAAGGAAGTACGTCATGTGGAAGAGTTACACCACACACATTCATGAGACTGAGTGACGGTGCAGTGTTGACCGCACTGCACTATGAACAACCCAGTATTTTATGTTCGATTCCCGTTAACGGCTAACATCAGTGGCTAATGACATCTAAACCAGCCCTGGGCATCTCCTTCACTAATCCCGCACTTACCAACATGGGCTACTGTTGTCAGTCAACCACCATGAACAATATGGCATGGGGAGGCCTTCATCAAGCAGTTGATTGACAAATAGCTATACATTACCATAACGTTTTCATATTCTTTCAAATACTATAAACACCCAATAAACATTGAACGTTGGGCCAACGTTGGCTAACGGTTCCAACCACATGCCAAACGGTGGTCCAACTTTGCATGTTTACTGGGCATTACTCAATTCATCCTTCCAGTTGTGAAATATCTTAATTCTTCATGATGTGTTAAGTGGAAGCAAATCAATTGAATGTTTTAGTTGGTGTTTTCAACAGGTAATGTTTGTATATTTGTATTATATGAGGAAGCAGCCAAAAAGTTTTCAAAACGAGACACAGTAGATACAAGATTAAACTCACCTCCAAAGTCACATGAATCCCTCTTCTGATTCGGTGATCTTTCATAACCATCCACTTATCATGTTATATAAGGTTATCCTTTTATTGATACCCACACATATGTCCCACCCACCTGTTAATACAATTTTGTAATATGTTAACACTTTCCTCTGTGAGATATGAAGCCATCACTTTCACAATATTCAATCACCTGTTGAGATTAAAGTAAGCGGACCATGACAAATCAATGGGGCATCTATACACGGATCACACTGTATATCATTATTGCATAAAGATGGGATCTCAAAACAAGGTAATCCTAGCAACTGATTGAAAAACTTATTTTTTCACTTCTCGTTAATAAAGTATTTTGACTGCCTCACGTATGTTGAGAGCATTTTTCCTGGCCAGGTGCAGAGATATGTTATTGTGTGTCTTCATCTGGCTGAAGCAGTCCCGTCTGGTCACATGATCATTATGTTGCAGGCGTGGATCTTAACCACTTCCCAGGATCTTGGTGGCACGCTGGTTGGCATCGTCGATGCGTGCCTTGTTCGAGTCCGCCTACAAGCACAATCAGACAGTTCTCATTAACAAGGAGCTGCCATATGCTAAGGATGGCCTTTTAAAGAATTAGCAATCACATTAAAGTGTCTTTGAACATTGCAGGATCCTGAGAGATAGCGGCTTGGAGACACATTCATTCATAAGTGGATTGACGATGGCTGCTGCTGCTGATGATAAAATACTTTTCAAACATACCTCATGCAATCCAAATGGTATCTTAATGGAATTATCTTATTCTTAAACAAGAACCAATTTTTTTATGTTGAATATTTCATTTTCATATGAGTTTTGTAATACCATTTCAATTTGCTTTACACGTGTCCTGCATTACTTTGAGACCCAAATATCCACTCATAAAAGTCTCAACGGGCCCTCACCTCACCGAAATTAAGATGAAAGAATTCCCGAAATAATGAAAACTAAGATATTAGTCGTCAAAGGTGTGAGCTTAAATTAACATACAGAATAAATTAACAAGTCAGGCTTGCGTGCCAACAAAAAGTATTCCCAGAAGATGGCAATGTTATCATTAAATGACTACATTGCATTACACTTCGAGCTGGACCAGCAATAAAACAAAATCACAAGGAGATAAACGCATCTTTATTTTGGTTGCTGAGTAACAGTCACGAGCTGCTCGCACCTCAGTTCAATTTATCCAACATCAGTGATGACTGTATGAACAAGTTTTGGACCTCCCCTCGGTCGACTCAGCATGAAATGAGTATCTGGTGTGATATCTAAACATCAGCACTGGGGAGACAAAGGGGGTCAGGCATTGTGCTGGACACACCAGCCCCTTGTGCAGCGTGCCGGCCTTCATAGGTGCACGCTGACATATACCCCAACAACCTATGTAGGCTACACGGGTGGGAAATCTGTCCTTGTCGATTACACTGGTCAACACACTTTTTCTGGCATAAGGTTTTCCAACGGTATTAAGTCAATTTTGGGGTGCTGATTCCAAATCTGGCATCAGTTTATGTCTATCACATCAGGTTTTTGAGATATGAAATATTGCATTTTCAATAAAAACTGCAGAAGAAAAATATTAAATAAATGTGAATATCTACATAAAATTATATTATAAACACACTATCCTAAAAACACAGCACCATATTTTAACACTAAAGCAGTCACTGACTCGCAACAACTTGCAATCATAAGTGACAGAGTTAATTTTGGGTAAAATCAATGAAAATGGGGTATGCCGATAGCATAGAAATGAGATGTGATAGAGCAAATCTGAGATCAGATTTTTGAATCAGCACCCTGAAATTAGTCTAAAACAGCTGCAAAAGTCCAGGCCAGAAAAATGTGTGTTTTTTTGTTGACCAGTGTTACCTTCTCCATGATGCGGCCGAGCTGCCGGTTCTGCGTGTCGATCTCGTTGCCCATGTCCATGGCCATGTGCCGCAGGTTGCCGATCATGCCGCTCACTTGCTCAAGGTTCTCCTCCATGTCGTTCTCCCGCGCGTCGTTTGTCACCCTGTGTTGGGACATTGACGTTGCGTGGGGGAGAGACGGTGCAGGAGGAGGAGAATATACAATATGAGAGAAAAGGCGAGAAGGGACGTGGAGGCAGGTGGACGGGGGGACAGGGGCAAGCAGTGGGATGTGGGCATAAATTGTAGGAGTCAATATGATCATTTTTCTTATTCGTGTGTTATTTACGATACCGGTGTTGTGATTTAATTCATCAAAACAACATAAGTAAAAAAAGCTAGGATATGAAAAATTAACAAATAACCTCAGCAATATTGACTAATTTGCAGTCACATTCAGAGCTGCCAATGTATCATTGTTAAAATAAAGAAAGAAACTAACTTATATTTAATGGTACCGAAGAAAATAACTTTTAAAACTTTACAAAATCATTGTCTTAGATTCAGACTTTAGAACTTCACACAACACCGACATATCCCTGTTAAACATCACTATGAGAAATGCAAAACATGGTTTAAGTTTTCCAGAACATATATAGAATCCATACTCTTTGATTCTTTCGGTAAAGTCACATAGATAGAGAATTAATAGATCACGACGTTTCGATCGCAACACAAGCAACCGTCTTCAGGTGAGAGAGAGAGAGCTACAGAAACAAGGTCTTATATAGGCCTGAGATGGGTGGGATGATAGAAAGAATCCTGAATGAGAAGTGTTTCTAGATCATTTGCAGACCATGCTCTGTGTTATGTCGTGTTGCAAAAGTGCCCCTATGTGTATTCTAGCACCTGTTATAAGGTGACGACTGGATCGTGAACAACTTGCACCAAGAGGGCCACCTGACCTGCGTATGAAGCCACCACTGCAGGCCATCTGCTCCCGTTCGTCCATGACGTGTGCTGGCTGGTTGGACACAACTCCATCCTGGTTGTTCCCCCATGCCTTCTTGTAGGCATCACCTGCCTCAAAGTTCTTCAGTCTGTCTCATGGTGGGGGCAGTGACGCAAAGGGCGTGAGACAGCTGGACAGAGATGCGCCGGATGCAAAATTCTGCTGCGACTGCGAATTGTAGATTTGCACTTGGCAAGTGCAACCCGGTTAATATTGTGTTTGCATTATTGAACCGTCGTTTATGGGTGTTTTATGTATTTCGAGTCTGTTACGTGTGCAACCATTAAGCTGCCCAGACTATAACGATCATAATTTTGCGTGTGTTTTAATTTGGTATTGATGTACTACCATACAGCGAGCCACTTAATCACAAAGGGAAAGTGCTGACAAATAACAAGAATATAATTAAACCTGCCATTAGATTTTATAGCTCATGGTAAAAACATTGTCAATGACTTCAAACCATCACTGGCTATTGTATACATCCTCAATAACAGAATAGCCGTGTTCAAAATCCTATATTTATCCATAACTAATTCATTCAAAGTAAAGGAAAATGTAATAGATCCATTACAGATGGCACATTTTTTAGCTTACATCTTTTGATCCTCTCAGTTGCATTATTTGCAGATCGACATTACACTGCATGACTGTCGATCCCTAGCCCAAACAAGTAGATGAAAATGTTATTTTTAAAGTTCTACACCAAGCAGAACCAAACAAAACCAAATATGTCCAAATGGCTGTTGTATTGAGGGTTTCGTAAATGAAAAAAGCTTTGTAAAGTGGGCGACAAATGAGTAACATTGTAATTAATTGACAGGTAATGCTTGGCAGTGGTGTTGTGACGAACGCTGCAAAAAGGGGAGCTTTAATCTCCCATGAGCCTCCGATATGCTTAAATGCCAGATTGAGCCGATGGGACACAGAAATCACCATGCAATCGGTGTGTCCCCCCATCACACCAAGCCTCTGGCTCAAAAAATTGCCCAATTTTCTGGTATGGATGACGAGTAAGTGACTGTAAGTGACCTCAAATAGAGGATTCTGAAAGTTGAATTCACACAAAACTGAGAAACACCCTTTTTACAACACCGATGATACTCGCGGGACATCGGACACAATGGACAGCATTGCAAGGGTGTGAACAGCAGTTTGCAGTTTCTGTGGAGGGAATTTCCTTTAATTAAGCGCTCACACATGGTTGAAAAAACCATGCTAACTACTAAGGGAATAACAAAGATGATGACATTAGCATATTCAGCAAACTGGCACGCCCATACACGAGGAATGCAGTGCTCGAGTTAGTGCAACTGCAAGCTGCAGTTAAGAGCCAAAGTTGTGATGCTGATACAATTTGAAGTGAAGCATAACTGATTTGTTTTCATTGCTGAAATTATGTTTATATGTGTAGACATGTAGTTACGGATTGCAGACACAAATTGAAATAACGAAAACCTCTGTCTACTGCTATATAAACATCATGCATTACAGATTATTTATTTTTGGAACCACGTTGGGAAAAATTGCAGTTCCACAAGTACATTTACAAATTAGTACCAAACTAAAATGTGTTTCACTTCAAATAAGAATGACAGTTCTGAAAGCAGGATCAAAAGAATACACGGCAAACGTGGAAATGAAGTGAGGGACTATACATACGTAAATGCAGTATACAAGTCAAAGATGAATATTAAGTAATTTACAACAGGCTGCGGGTTAACCCAGCATGCCCTTACTTGCAGACAAGACGATATAAAAGGGCAACTTCAGTGGCAACCCATATCGTCTTTCCATGCATGAAGAGCAAATGAGACGGTTGTTCATGATGGTATTCATACTTTGTGGAGGCAATGGCCTTCCCAACAAACTTAAAGAATTGTAGGACATACGTTGTGCATATTAACAGCAAGGGCATTGCATTAAAATGCAAAAAAATACGCTGATATTAACAAATCACCATTTGTAATCATTAATAATGTTCAACAAAGTAGAGAGGGGTCTATAGAGAAGCACACATGTCTAACCGAACTCAACATTAAACTGTGCCTTGGTGATGTCAGCAGTTATTTTGTGGGTTTAATGACACTACTAACATCTGATCTTATTGTTTTTTATTGTCCACAAATGCCAATATTGTCATAATATTCACAAGAGGATATTTTTGTAACAAATGGTGAATGTTAAATCCAGGCATTCCACAGAAGCGTTGTCATACATGTCAACTAATTTGATAACATTATAGGCTGCACACCACACGGACATAAAACATTATTAGATTTTGACCTATTTGACCGATTTACTGATTTTGTTGACAGCTGTCAGAGTCACGCATCATGCACTGCGCACTGGAATGGAAAGGTTTCCAGAATAAAAGATAAAACGTAACATGTATGACAAACCACGTGTGTAGCATCATGGATAATGACAGTGTATTGCCACATCATGCTCTTAAGCTTGGGGGTAGAGCAGCTCTATGCTAATGTATACCCACATTATCATGCAAATATATTTCTCTTTACAGACCAGCATGGCCAGGCATGCCAAGACATGTCTGGGGGCATGGTAAGGACCTATAAAGCAGATACGGAACTAGACTCATCTAGTTTATGGTTTAAATAACAAATCACGCCTGCTCAGACCTACTTATCACAAGGGCATAGGGCACACAGGCCGCAGCAATTTCCTATACTCGACAAGTTTTTTTCTGCCTCCTTCATATCCTGATTGATCCCATCCATGCCTTGCTCGGTATGCTCCAATTGTTCTTACATAGAATGGTTGAATGAGTGCAGGTGGGAAATTGAGGGCACAGGGTGGAGAGGGGAAAAGAAAAGACCAAAACACAAGAACAGACTTAGAGCATGCCAAAGACAGAGCACGGGATGAGCGTGACACACAATTATGCACAGCGGCCCTCAGACGGCGTGGGCCAGTACCTACTTTTCACACGGACACGCGCACAGGCCACAGCATTTCCCTAAATCTGTTAAGTTTTTCTCGGCCTCCTTCATATCCTTGTTGATCTGGTCCATGCCTTCCTCAATCTTGTCAAGCTGTTCTGTTAGAGAAATAAGCAGGAACTCTTAAAATTTCGTTCAAGCTGGGCAAATATTACGATATTAAACGAATAGAAATTTGTTCTTGCCAACTGTGTGTACAAATATGTGTACAGTACTGTACAACTAAAATTGAATTTAAAGGACCGTATTGGCAATAAAGTAACAGCACAAGTTGAAAATATTTTAATATGTAGGCTTTCGCTGACGAATATCATCCATAATACAGGTTTTTGGGTTAGATCGCGTAAATATATAAATGTGTCGTTAAACCCGCCACCACTCGACACATCCAATTAGTAAGGTGTGTCACGGAACGGAACATGCCAATATGTTTTACTAGTACAGCACACCGGGGTGTCAGATTGTCAACGTTGTGGCTTTGCTCTCCAACACACCGGTGTGTTGTACTTGTAACGATTTGGCATGCTCTGTTTATGTGTCAAACCTTACTAATTGGCTGTGTCGGGTAGTGGAGGGTTTAATGACACATTTATAAATTTACGCGATATAATCCAAAAAAACTTTTTTTATGGTTGAAAATATTTCGGAAATGTAATCATTTCTGAAAATAACTGCCTGGCAAAAAAAAAAGAAACCACAATGAAATAATAATGTGTTCAGCAATTGCCTTTGTTGAAGGCAGCAACAAGTCGTGATTTAATTTGTTTTCTTTTAACCTACGTGACTTTACCGAAAAAACCAAAGAGTATAGATTCTTGCAGTCACGAAAACTTCAAATCTCGAATTAAGTGTGTTATTATAACGTTCAATAATTCCGTACTTCAAAAGCGTCTTGACCAATATAGCGGTTTCAGAATACCTCCTATAAGGAAGCATACCTGTGCCATGTATGATTTCTGGTCAAAATAGTTGGACTAGGTATTATGTCAACTGAATCGTATATATATAATAACTCTCTCAAGATATATAAAGTATAACATGTCAATTGGGTTTGAAGTTTTCGTGACTGCAGGGATCCATTCTCTTTGGTTATTTCGGTAAAGTCACGTAGGTATAAAATAAATAAAATCCCGACGTTTCGATTGCAACACAAGCAATCATTATCAGGTGGGAAAACCACAGCGAGAACATTTTTTTGCTGAAAAATGTTCAGCCTCCCACTTCCAGCCCCGCTCACTTTCCCCCGTCCCTCTCCAAGCGTCCACGCAACGCTCCCCTCCCCCTACCCCCTCCCTTGCCCCTCCCCCCTCTCTTACCTATATAACCTCTTACCACAGCATCTCTCTCCAACTTCAGCAAAACATTTTCTTGCTGTGGTTTTCCCACCTGATGATGATTGATTGTGTTGCAATCGAAAGGTCGTGATTACATTTATTTTATTTTATACCTACGTGACTTTACCGAAAGAACCAAAGAGTATGTCAATTGGCTTATGTAACGTTCTCACATTACGTCATGCCCCCTACCTCTGTATCAGGTGTGAATCACGGATTCTCTAAATATATGTCAATAACATGATTACATCTTCAGAATACACGCATTGTGAACATATGGCATATCTAACCGAGGTAAACTTTTGGACCAGATAACATAAACATTCCATTTAATTGAAAACAATATTCACGGTTTCGCTGTGTCCAGAGTTCAATCAGATCACTCACAACACACTGCACGCTCGTCCTTTCAAACAATTAAACTTATTTTGTAAAAATGACACCTGGTCTCCTGGACACTTATTGAGGTGTCTTGGCACCATGCTCAATGCGCAGCGCCTTACCTCCTTGCTCATCCAGCATTACCAGTGTCCTTATGCCAGCTTCTTTGCTCTAATTCAAAAGGAACACAAGGGACAGAAGCTTAGGTAATAAATGAGAATGATTCATAATGTTTTTTTTTAATTAAAAACAACTTCTGTATTGCCACATGCGGCCCGGATGAAATGTCGCGCGTTCCGTATGTTTAAACCCCCAACGTCACTTCCAGCTTGGAAAGTGAGATCTATTGGTTGGTCTCTGTGGTTTCTCTCTCAGGAAAACTGGGTCACCACCTCCATGAATCCCCTTTATTTCTCTCGAGTGAAACAAATTATCGCCATGGCATTGCCACTTGAGCTTTAAGGCAAGCTGAGATGTCCGACTGTGAGATCTTTATTGGAAGTTGTAATCTGAGAATGCTCCTTTCAACGCTGCCTCGATGACCAGTCTCCGGAAATTAGCTTCCAAATGTACCAGCTCTATGGACACCGTGAGCATTCAGTAAAGTGCAGGCTGAGTGAAGATTCAGAATGATGTAATCATTTATTCGATTAGAACCAAATATAAAATCAAATAAATGCTATACTCTTCGATTTAAAGCTTTCGTGACTGCAGGGATTCATCCTCTTGGTTCTTTCGGTAAAGTCACGTAGAAGGGAAGTAATAAAATAATAAAAATAAAACATAATAAAATAATTCTCACGACGTTTCGGCCACAACGCAAGAAGCCGTCCTCAGGTGCTTCCCTTCTACGTGACTTTACCGAAAGAAGCAAGAAGATAAATGCTATACTGTTGTAATTCCAATGATTTTAAAGTGAGCATGAATGTGAGAAGAGCTGTATTGTTATATATACATATAAAATTTACTCAACAGTGTAAGGTGGCAAACAACTGCCATTACACCCTCTTAAATTATTTCTGGAAATGTAATTAGTTGCAAAGCATAACAAATTAAGGGCTTCACCCTTATTTTAAAAAAAACATTAGCTGTAAAAATTATATTTTCATATTAAATGCAAATATTCACCTCGAGTCACATTGCATTACTTCAAGAATTACCTGTCATTAATCTTTAAAAATCCTTTCTATTATAAACCCCACAAATGTATCTGCCACGGTTTCCTTGTGGTACGGTTTTAAACTTTGGTATATGTCATATACAATTACATGGAGTAAATGTTCCTGCCTTAAGAAAATATTAGATACAGTTCCACAAAAGAAGAAGGATGTTTGCTGTGCTGAAGAATAAATGCTGGCTCACCTCATCCACCAGCTGTAACATTCGACGAGTACTTTCCAGTGACTGCAATACAGAAAACCCAACGTGCAGATCGCATAATAGGCACACACTTCACAACACAGTGACGTCGTTATCGAGTGTGCAGGCAGTGCAACTGCACCGGGACCCAAGGGCCAGAGGGGAGCAGGCACCCCATTACGAAGAAGTGCGGGAAGAAGTCGACAGTGGGTCCCAGATTTAATTCCTTGCACCAGCGCTCATGCGGACCACGCTACACCACTGGCACAACACACAGACTGGGCACACAGAACACCACGCAGACTGAACATACGCGACACAAACACTGAACAAAGAACATAAGCACAGCAGCAGAAAAAAATGTGAGTGTGGTTCGTGCCATATTTCATGTTCATCATCAGCCATGGTTTATCCACTGCTCAATGAAGGCCTCCCCATCTCACATAAGGTCCCGTGACTGCTCCGACATGACGATGAAGCTTGACACCGATAAGGACCTAAGGTGCTCTCCTGGATTGGGGCCCCATCATCAGTGAGATACTGAGTGAGAGGCAAGACAAAATGAGATATCTTCATCAACCCACACTGACCGACACGCCTAGACATCATGATGCACAACAGAATACCAGCTTGTAGCAAGACACATAGCACAGACATACAATTCCACACACACCACAATCAGCACGAATTGCACCAAAAAAACATTCAACCATTATGTGTGACTGTCTTTCAATGTGCAATACATTTGTCCCAGCTATGTTCCAATGTTAACGCCACACTCATAATGAGCACAACAAAACTAAATATCATACCGCCCACACATTTTAAATATCACGCAGCAGATGTAATCTAAATGTCATAGGGCCAATTCTGTATAGATCACAGGGCTTTCCCAGTGTGAATACTACAACATGTATCTTCTTCTTACCTATAAACGTCATTCTTTGTCTGTGTGTCCGTCTGTCTGCCCGCCTGTCTCTGTGTGGATGCAACTTGCGAAGGATTTGGCTCGCGAACCGTGGGGTTTATGTTTTAAAAAAAAGTAGCCGGGTACCACGACGTAAGCCCCGTGGTGAGCCAGCGCTATTCCGTTTTCCAACCCGTCAACTTAAAGTAATTAAATTAGCAATTTTTTTAATATTTAGCATTATTAAATTATTTCCTCGAGCCGCTACTGCTGCCCGGTGGAGGGTGGGGGGGTTTCTCCTTCGCGTTCAAAATGCGGCAAAAAATACACGCAACGCGCTTCTGCGGCCGCCTGGAACGCTCTTCCCATCCGATATTAGGAAGCTATTGGAGCTATGCACTTTTAGATAATCTGGATTGAAAATTAACTTCTTTAAAACTGATTTGAGTCACGTTTGTCGTCCTTCCTCCGCATCTCCGATTAGCGCGGGTTGTCTACGTACGGCGCGAAGGAAGTTCAAGGTACATACAGACATAGCAGCTCTTGAAATATTTTGCTTTTTTTTATTACAGAATTCGTAAAAGATGTCCCTTCTTGTTATTTTGGTTGCCGGCGGCTGGGACAGGACCCCTCACCTACTACACCTTCTGAAGAGAACCCCGCAGCGCTGACTCAACGGGGCAATTATACAGGGTGGTCCAAATGTATTGTGACCACCCCCCAAATAATTGACCCCTAACATTTTTTTCTCCATTTGCGTAATAATTTCTGTTTTAAATAAACCTTACTTTTATTTTTGTTTATGTTTTAGACGATTAACCCGGGTGCTGTCGAATCACCACACGGAGACCAGATTCTGATTCAGGGCTGCTCGCCGTTAATTCACTCCTCTTCCTCCACTCCACTCGCACTCCTTCTCTCTCTCTCCACACTTCGACCCGTGGCAGGCACTCGCTAGCCCCTGTCCCTTTCTCCTTCCTGGCTTCCTCTCTCCCGAGGCTACCCCTCACGTCTCCCCCTTTTCCCCACTCCACCCTGAACGTCTCCACCCCAACTCGCCTCTCTCCCTCTCTTCTGCTCTCTCGGTCCCCCTTCTTCTATCCCTTTTTTGTAGGGCTTCTCCCTTTCCTCCCCTCTTTCTGCGCTCGCCCCCTCGTTGGGTCCTCACGGTACTTCTCGACACAAGCACCGAAGCGTGCATCGCATGCACCGGGGGAAAAAACATGCCGAAGTAGTTGACGAACAAAGTTGGCCACCGTGGCCAATGCTGTTGACACTACCGCACCCTGCCATCACTTCCTTCCTTCTGCTAGATCCTACAACCCTTACGCGAAGCCGGCACACGTCCTCCCAAAATTTCACTTGTAAAGGAAATTCCACTTGGTAGAATAGGGGGCGCATCTTTTTGGCCCTCCCACTATTAATCAGGGATTTTAAAACAAATCCTCTTTACTTTAAACAGTGAGGGGTATGCATCAACGCATTTGACATGTTTTTCACCGCAAAAATAGCATCCGTTGTACAACAGCGGCATGTTGACAAACATCCTATTGATGTGTGTATGCGATTACCCACAATGCTCAGCGACAACACGACGAGTTGTTTTAAACCTGGACTCAGCTCTTTGATTTTGGCCTCAGACCTCCACGTGCCAGAACTGAAGATGGCATTTAGAACACCGCAATGCCCTGGTGGTACATCGAGAGCCAACACGCCAACGCATTTAATTTGTTGGAGTAAACCACAAAACTAAACTACGTTTTATTTTACCGGATAAAGATCCACCGAGCTACTTGGTTCGATTTCAGAAGCGACCTGGCCACAAACGCTCGCTCAAGCGAAGTGGCTTCTCGCGTGGCGATGTATAGCAGCAGCCAAATGCTTCTGAACACGTAGTGTCGACTCTGAACGTCTAAAGGGGGGGAAAAGACCGGGGCGATAATGGGGGAAGCAAGTACGCACGCAGTTGCTAGACCCAACACGTTAACCCCCTTTTAATAAGATTTTTCGACCGTCAAAAAAATAGGTCAACATCATTTTACATATTCTTCATGTCTGCGGTTCTCTGTTTTTTTAGCACGTTCGTGTCAAAGACAAATTCACTGCTGTGAGTTGCCAGACCACAATCTGCACGATCCACTTTGCAAACACGATTCGAGAGGGGGCTTATGTAAAAAAACATGCCTCAAATACCTCTGCGCCAATAGAAGAGATATGCTACACACGTATCAGGTATTGCCGTACTCACCGAATTTGCAGTCCGTTGCCAATGCACGGTGGCGAGATTTTAAATCCCTCGCCCGGTATACAGGAGGAAGTGGGTTCGATCCCAACGCTGACGCCTGCGTGGATTTTTCTCTGGGTCCTCCAGTTTTTCCCCCTCCACATTTCGCAACACGCGTTTCGAGTATTTGGCTTCAGTAAATGTCCACTTAAGCCACTTCGTTGAGCCATCATTTGTGGCCAGGTCACTTATTTAAAAAGAGTTGTGTAGCCCAGTGGGCCTTATCTGGTAAATAAACATTTTGCTTTTTAAATTTAACTGCTCGCAGGCTTCTCCATGTAGCATTATATGTCGAGACCACTCTGCACGATCCGTATGGGTTTGTTGGAGACACTCATGATCAATATCACTCGCCACTCATGTGAGCCGTAGTACTCACAGCACAGAACATAAACCGCTAAGGGGCCGTCCATAAATGACGTCACGCGATTTTGGACGATTTTTGACCCCCCCCTCGTCACACGGCGTCACAAAAAGTCAGACCCCCCTCAAATATGACGTCACAAAGCTCTGCCCCCCCCCCAAAAAAAAATAAAACATGCTTCAAATCGATTTAAACTATTGTCATTGTAATGTGGCGCTGCACTCTGATGTTGTAGGAGAATAGCATAGAATGCTGTATATGCTATTGTGTCTATAGCATGGTGCGTATGCTATTGTGCAGTTTTAATGAGGTTTTAGGAAAGGGCGGTCCTGCACAGATGCTTTATTTTCTGTCCGTCTGCTACAGCTGAGGTGTAAGGAATTCCAACAAGACCTACATCTCTGCTTTATTGACCTGCTCAAGGCCTATGATACCATCAGTAGGCCTGGCCTCACTGTTGTTCTGCGTGCTTTCGGAGTCCCTCACCCTCTGCTCACGATCATTAAGGACCTTCATGATGGTGAGCGGGCCCGGGTAAAACTACGTGGCCGGGAGTCGGAGCCACCTTGGGGTGCGACAGGGTTGTCCTCTGGCTCCCACATTATTTTACATCTATTTTTACCACGTAGTTCGTGAAGCCTTCAATAGCTGGTACAGATACAATGGGAGGCTGATCGATGCCCGGGTGCGGTCATGGGATGGCTCTGGATTGCTAAACCATGTTATCTATGCTGATTATCTGGCAATTGCTGCTCACTCAGACGAGGAGTTGGAGGCGCTGCTGCTTAACCTGGAGCTTGCCACTAAGAGGTGGGACCTTGCCATCAGCCCCACCAAAACTAAGCACCTGCCTGGGTATTTTGTACCATCGGACACTCTACCCCCACAACTCCCAATTGCTGATGGGGCGGTTGTGGAGAGAGTGGAGAGTTGCCCATACCTGGGCAGTGTGCTCATGACCGGCTGTGGTTTGACAGCGGAGGTCTCATTCCTAATCAGTCGAGCGGCATTGTCTTTTCATCGGTTGTATAACGCTGTGTGGAAGCTACCTGGTCTGTCACTCCGCACGAAGCTACAGGTCTTCTCGGCCACAGTCATTCCCTGCCTTCTTTACGCTTGCAAAACGTGGACCCCCCTAATGGAACATCTTCGCCGGTTATAAACATTTAGGCTGGCCTGCCTACGATCCATCCTGGGTCTACCCAGGCTGGATTGTGTGAGGAGCTCACACATCCTTTAAAGATGTGGACAAAGTCCCATCGGTGAGCTCCTCCGGCAGGCAAGGCTGCGTTGGCTGGGTCATGTAGCCCGCATGCCCAGCCACCGCATGCCTAAACATCTTTTGTTCGGCCGGATCGTGGGGGCTAAACGGGCGCGGCACGGGCTACAGAAGAGATGGAGTGATGTGGTACAGGAGGATGTGGAGCTGAGTGGACTTGCCAGAGGTGGGACAAAGTCATTGTTATGCAAGTCCAAGTCGAGTCTGAAGT